CAAAGTCCATGGACTACTGAGGTGTATTTAAAGTGAAACCTAAACCTAATATAATTTAACTTTCACAATTGTAAAATTAAGAGAAGTCAAAAGTCTTAGGTTTTGAGAGTCTCTTGTGTTTTTTTGTAAGTCACCCATGTATGTTTTGATACAGTGAGGTGGACTGATTATTACTTGGTTGTTTATCAAGTTATTATTCTCACTCTTGAAGCTTTTGAGCATAGAGTTCAGTATTGTTCTTAGTTGAAACTTTTAAGCAAAATTAAGTATTGTTTATTGAAAGTGTAATCTTCTGGTTTTTGATTCTAGTCACTGGTATTGTGATTGTATTTTATCACCGAGGTGATTGGTAGGAAGTGAGTGGGGGATCTCATATCTAGAAGGTTTGTAGGTAGAAGTTGCGCAAGATTGTGATCATGCGAGAAGTTGTAAACTGAGATTGTTTAGGCTTTGAACTAATGTTGTCATAGTGAATTTCCTTTCGGGCTTGGTAGTCCCCATAATAGGTGACGTTGCACCGAACTGAGTTAACAATCAGTTGTGTTATTTATCATTCTGCAATTTATTTCTGCATATTTTACAGTTTGATATTATTGCTCTGTAGCAGGAACATATGTCACAACATCTGTCTTGATATTGTGTTCTGATGTTGGGCCATCAATATTAACATGTGTTGCAATTGTCAGAATTTTACACAAGAAATCGGGTCACCCAAAGTCGTATGGAGAAGAGTGATCTAAAAGATATATTTGCCCGAAAGACACACTAGATCAAGACTGACCAACCATTATGGACTGTCAGATACAAAGTCCTGTATGATATAATGATATTTGTCCCTTGAGACAAAGGTTCATAAAATAGGTTATAGGGCCTCTAACCCAAAAGTCCTACCTTAAAGATAAAAAAATAATTCAATCTCAAGTACACATTATTCTAAAACTCTATCTAGTTCATGTAGTTTCAGTCGTCACTAACTTGATCGTCAAAATGTTTGTAAATACGCCTTTACCATTGAATGCATTGCGAACATCATTATGTTGGAATTTGTTATTTAAAAAGAGTTCATTTATTATTTTTATTTTATAAAAAATGATTGTAAGAATATAGAAAATGGTGATTTAATTTTACCGATTTTATAAAAACTCAAATTTTACAAAAACGTTTTGTCAAAAAAAAATTATACAAAAAGATAATTTATTTTTATCCATTTGTTTTTTTTATAAATAATAGATACTTCATTAAGAAGAAAAGGAAGTGGTTCATTATTCAATAATACATTAAAAAACAGAAGATAAATTTATGTTTAAAAAAAGAGAAACCTTAAATCCGAATCTTATTAAAATCTAAGAAAGCATCCTTACAAAGTAGTTTCTTTTAAATATTTATAAATACGATTGTTTTTGAAAATTAAAATACTTGTATAAAGATTTAAATGATTTTTCAATGAAATAAACTAGAATAATTGTTTAATTAAGGAAAGTAAAAGACAAAATATGGCAATGCCAAAAAAGTTGTCTTCATGGACACTTTTTCGTTCAAACCTTTTAAAATGTGTTTGGTGACTTGTAATCCTCTACTAATATGTAAAACACAACCACATTTTTAAAGTGAACAATTCAAAAATTTGTTTGGATAACTTTAATATTTGTGAACAAGCATAATCCATACAAAGTTTTCTTCAACATAGTGTATATAAAATATTAAAGTAGATTGATTCGAAGGCCTACAAATTGACTCAAAAGCTAGACACTCAATCGCATAAACGTATCAATGAGTGAAAGTTTGAAAGTGAAATATTATATATAAAAAATACTACTTTTATGTAATAATGGTAATATTAAACAATGAGTGAAAGTTTGAAAGTGAAATATTATATATAAAAAATACTACTTTTATGTAATAATGGTAATATTCAAAGTGTTTGCGACGCGGTTTAAACGATTTTGAAGTTAAAAATCACTTTAATTGTAAGAGAAAAAATATATGGTTCGTTTGATTCAATTGATTTTTAAAAATAAAATAAAATAAAATCAAACTAAATTAATACGGTATAAATTTGTTCGGTTTTTTATTAAAAAAAATTATTGAGTCATATGAAAAATACAATTATCATAAAAAAATTTATAATTATATTTAATTGTTCATAAGTTACCATTCATAAGTTATCATAAAAAATCAATAATTGTTAAAATAAATATATACATAAAATAACATAGTTTTATCTAAATCTAAAGATAGATATACATAAAATAACATTCTTAAATAAATATATAAAAAATATGATAAAATATGTTTTATGAAAATAATATTTATAAATGAATAATATTTTATTTTTTAATGATATGTAGATTAAAATAAATATCATATAAAAAATATGATAAAATATATACATAATATATGTTGATTTCTCTAAAAAAATTATAAAAAAAATTAGATTGATTAATAAGATTTTATAATATACTGCGATTTGGTTTGGTTCGGTTTGTAATACACAAACCGCAAATCGAGTCGAACTGCACTGTTACGTTAAAAAATAGTCCAAACACATTCGAATCAAATACGATTTTTTGCGATTTTAATTTGATTCGATTTAATTTTGCAATTTTTTATTACACCGATTTAATTTTTAACACTCCTAGATAACACATACGACGGCATTTAATTTAAAAAATAATTTCTATTTAATACATTATTTATTAATAATTTTTTGTATAATACTAATCTATGATTTAAGGATATAATAAAAAATATATATTTTGCATCAAAGATAATAATTTCAAATTAAAAAAAAAAATTAATACACCACTTTTAAATATAATATATGTTTTCTTATCTAGCACTCTAAGAGCATGATTATCGGTGTTCTTTGAGAGTTCCTACACATTTATTAAAGAAATTGTGTCAATAATAAATAGATATTTCACTTGTTTTCACGTTCCTGAACTAAAGCACGTCCTCATACTAAAGCACGCTTCTACACTCCAATTAAGTGGATCATGATAACAAATTAATAAATAAAATTACAAGAATGTAGTTGATTTGTTTTAAATGTGGGACCCATTTTAAATTTTTTGATAAATTACATGGATATTTGAGAATTATAGATGAGTTGTTTAAAAAATTGAGAACTGTGAAATAATATAAAAAATTATGTGGGTCACATTTAAAGAACTCAAATGGATATGATGAATGTGGATGCTCTAAGTATACTTATTGTTATTCTCTTAATTAATTGATGATTACTCCCTCCGGTCTCATTTATAAGAAAAAAAATTAACTTTTTATATACATTGAATAAGTAATGTATTTGGACAATATATTGTCCAAATACATTACTTATTTAATGTATCTAAAAAGTTAACTTTTTCTTATAAATGAGACCAGAGGGAGTACTTAATCAGTGCCACATCTACATAAATTCAAAGTTAATATATTTATTTTACATTTTCTATATTATCAAATATAATTTTGACCATTTATTTTAACCAATTTATAAAACTAATTTTATATTTTAAATTTAAATAATTTTGATAATTTTTTATATTATCGTTTAAAATTGACACTGTACTCATTTTTAAATAACATATATTTTTGAAACATGGCAAATTTTTGTATTAAAAAATTGTAAATAAAAAATATAAATTAGAAAATAAATACATCTCGACTTTCATAACAAAAAGTGAGAGGAATAGAATTATTTAAATTTAAAATAAAAGATTTATTTCATAAATAAGATAAAATAAAGAGATCAAAATTAAAATAATTTTAAAATAAAAATGGTAAAATGATTATAATGTTTTGTTTTGAATATCAAATAAGAAAGTATGATAATAATATATTTCTTTTTAGTCTTAAATATGGATACATTATAAGTTAGTAGATTTTTGATTTTTCTCTTTATATTTTTTTATTATTAATAATTTTTACGAATTCTAATTTTAAGGACAAATATCAAATATATTTTAACAATTAAAGATTATTTAAAAAAAACGAAACAAAAATAAAAGATAATTTAATTATTTAAATCTTCTTTTTAACATGTAATATATATTAATAATAAGTTTTTTTTTTTAGAAGAACTATAATAATTACTTCCTTTCAAATAAAATAAAATTAAAAAGTTCAAAAATTGAAATGCACTTAGTCTAAATTTTAGACTAAATACTTCATAGTTTCAAAAAGAACAAGATTCATAATTTTGAAATCTAAGATTATTTCTAGAAATCATAACAATTTTGTTTTTTACAAAGAGTAATAGTGATGTAAATCATGGTTAAATACATTTTTATAAAATTACTAAAACAAAGTTTTTAGTTAAAAATACACAATAGGGAAGTTCTTTAGTTATACATTTAATTTACAAATTAGTAAACAATATTTAAAATTTTGTAACTTTATTTAACTTTTTCATACAAAAAAAATTAAAAATTGAAATAATAAAAAAAGTAGAACATTATGAAATGTCTAGTGGCACCCTAATCCTAATCCTTATGCACCATACACACAAAAATCAAATCAAATAATAACACTATGATAAAACCATTTCACCAATTACTTCAAAGTTAAACACTGCCATATGGGTCCCACTAACTACTCTACAACCTATAGAAACTCGCCACGTGTCACATGTACCTGTCCAAAATGACACCTGTAATTCACAGAGGAGACAGAAATAATAATTCTAAGAGAATCTGTCTAGTTAATTTACCTAAATACCCTCCATATATAAAATACGATGTACGTATACGTATACTGTATTTGTGTATTTGAAGTAAGATACGGATAAGATACATAAAGGTATGAACCTAGATTTAAGCCTCAAAGCTCTCTGAATTTTTCACTCTCTCTCTTTCTTTCTCTCTCCTCTTTGTGATTGTGTCGGTGTACATACACAGATCTTGTTTACTCCACCACGTTGTTCATTTCTTAATCAAGTTTTGATTTTTGAGCTGAAATAATTCGTGGGGTTGGGTTGTTTTTGCCTTTTGTGTTGAAGTTAGCTAAAGGGTAATTGTTTTGAGGTTGGATCTTTGGTGGGGTTGTGAAAATGAGGGGGATTTTATAACTGGGGTTGGAGTAGTGTCACTATATAATTGTGGGTGGTTGATGGTTTTTGTATAGGTTGGTGGTTTTGTTGTGGTTGTTTTGATTTTTAAGGGAAGGTGTATGTGGGATCTTATTTTGAGTCTATGTTTTGTGAAGAGAAGAATAAGGTGGGATTGTTGTGCTTTTGTGATAATGTGTAGGGGTAGATGGGGAAAATGTGGATGAGTTGAGGTGATAAGGTTTTGTGTTGTTGGGTTTTTTTTTTTTTTTTTTGTTGGTGAATTGTTTGGTTTGTGTTTGATCTTTTGCCTCATAGGGATTTTTGGGATAATTTGTGGGTGTCAGAAGATAATGCAGCAAGATCATAGAAAAAAGGTGGATTTTTTGTTTTTGTTGTTGTTGTTGTTGTTGTTGTTGTTAAGCATCTTTGGAATTGTGATTGAAAAATTCATTTTGATGACTATGGTATCTCTTTTGTGACGAGGAAAATTCAGTGGTGTTAAGATCATAGGATAATGTTTATGAATTTTGGATACTTTGAATTTTCTTTTGTTTGAGGTGTAAATGAAGTTTATTGGTTTTTCTGCAACTGATTTGGAGGATTTGTTGATCTTATCTCTATGAATTTTCTCTTTTTTACACCTGTTGAGTTGTGCTTTCTGCTATTTGTCTTGATATGCTAGATGGCATTCCTGTTTTCAAGGCTTTCAGGTTTTTATGACATCAGATCAGACCTTGTCAACTATTTATTTTTGTTTTGTTTTGAACTTTTCCTTTGATTGTAATTCTTTAATTACCAGATTTAAGAATAATTTTCATTTATTTTTTAATATTGAGTTGTGTATGATCACTGGTTGGAAAAAAAAGGTGTGTTCCGTGTCCGTGTCTGAAACTGGCACCTGTGATTATGTTTATTTTGTTCATTTTTTCAAATTATAACCAGTGTCGGTGATGTGTTGTGTTGTGTTACTGGTGTCTGTGCTTCATAGGAAGCTAATGAAATTTGCGCTGTATTCCCTCCAAAATTATTCTGTATATTTCTGTTGAGTTAATAAGAGTCTTTATGTTTGTTAATTGTTGGTTTGCCTGTGTTGTTCCAATGGGTATATTTGTGTTGTCAAATGTCAAATAGTACAATGGCGTTACAGATCTTTATCGTTACCGACTTTGAACAAACTGTTATTTTTCGTATGATATTCCTGTAAATGTAATGTAACTTATCTTTGAGTTTTTCTTTTTTGAAGTAAGAGTAATTTCATTAATTTTATTGATTAGTTGTGATATCTGAAATTTGTGTTTAATAAATGAATTTCTCTGTAAATCAGCAAAAACTATACTGTCATTTAAATTTCTATCCGTACTGAAAATTTTCTCTTAAAAATTGTTGCTTTTGTTAATTTATGAATGTTTTCAGAATTTGAAATTTGAACTTGTTTTGCTTTGTGGAATGACTTATATCTCTGCTACAGAATTCGACGGAGATGGACTTTTTCTCTGAGTACGGCGATGCCAACCGGTACAAAATTCAAGAAGTCATTGGTAAAGGAAGCTACGGTGTTGTCTGTTCGGCCATTGACACTCATACTGGTGATAAAGTTGCCATTAAGAAAATTCACGACATTTTCGAGCATATATCTGATGCTGCGCGTATTCTCCGTGAGATAAAGCTGCTTAGACTTCTACGACATCCTGATATTGTTGAAATAAAACATATTATGCTTCCTCCTTCTAGGAAGGATTTCAAAGATATTTATGTTGTTTTTGAGCTCATGGAGTCGGATCTTCATCAAGTCATTAAAGCGAACGATGACTTAACGAAAGAGCACTATCAGTTTTTCCTTTATCAATTGCTTCGAGCGCTGAAGTATATTCACACTGGTAACTGAAAAAACGTTGTAGTTACTTTTATATTTAGATTAAGTGCACATTGTGTCGCTAATGGCTAAAATATTGTCTTCTTACTTTGATAATGCAGCGAATGTCTATCATCGAGATTTGAAGCCAAAAAATATACTGGCAAATGCAAACTGTAAACTTAAAATTTGCGATTTTGGTCTTGCTAGAGTTGCATTCAGTGACACACCGACGACTGTATTTTGGACGGTACTCTTTCTCAACATTTCCATTTTCTTTTTTCAGCGTTGCTTTTTGTTTATCTTATTATCCACATTTTTTCAAATTTCTGATGTCATTTGGTAAGGTCGCAACTGATGCTTATCGCTTGTTTAATGCATTTGTGTGTAGGATTATGTTGCTACAAGGTGGTATAGGGCTCCAGAGTTATGCGGATCGTTTTACTCAAAGGTACGTCTTTTTCAGGATTTTTGAGACATAAAAAGAAAGTAACTACATAAATATGTAAAGTCTCCATTTAGCATGCTGTTGGATTCAAGTGTGAGTGGTTAAGTCCCACATCGACTAAAAATGGTGAAAATGTTGGATTTATCTCAGAGAGAGAGAGAGAGAGAGAGAGAGAGAGAGAGAGAGAGAGAGAGAGGAAATGGGATCTTAGTATGCATCAAGACTAGTGATGTGGTGACTCACACTTGCCTTTGGTTACATCTAGTTTCTTTCTTTTTAAGTCTCTTAAAAATCTTTGTATTCTATTAGATTGCATAAGCACATTCGCAATGGCAACCGATTTCTGATTCACTTCTAGTAACAATGCATATTTTTTTTCCGTAAATTTTGATACAGTATACACCAGCGATTGATATATGGAGTATAGGTTGCATCTTTGCTGAAGTATTAACAGGAAAGCCTCTTTTTCCTGGAAAAAATGTAGTCCATCAATTGGATCTGATGACAGATCTGCTCGGTACTCCCTCACTGGATACTATATCACGGGTAAGCATATCTTGCTATCGCGGAAAAAGTACTTGTGTTGCTTAGCTTAATCCTGAACAAAAAATTACCAGCTTGTAACGATTATTGTGTTGGATGCAGGTGCGCAACGAGAAGGCCAGAAGATACCTTACTAGCATGAGGAAAAAACAGCCTGTGCCATTTGCACAAAAATTTCCAAATGCCGACCCGTTAGCTCTACGACTATTGGAAAGGTTGCTTGCTTTTGACCCAAAAGACCGACCTACTGCTGAAGAGGTTTGTTACAGCGTGCCTTGTTACTTTCTAATTTGTATTGAAATTATTTAGGCCATGTTTCATAAAAGAACACTTGTTGTAAAAACACTTGTTGTATAAGAACTTGGCATAATTCATAAAAGTGTTTATTATAGCTATAAGCTATTTCTATAACAAAAGATAAAATAAAGTTAAGTTGTTTTCGAAGAATTTTCACAAGCTACCTTAGAGATTTTAAACGTGTTGTTGATTTCAGGCACTGGCCGACCCTTACTTCAAGGGACTGGCCAAAGTTGAGAGAGAACCGTCCTGCCAGCCTATTACCAAAATGGAGTTTGAATTTGAAAGAAGAAGAGTCACAAAGGAAGAAATTCGAGAGCTAATTTTCCGTGAGATTCTAGAGTATCATCCTCAACTTTTAAAAGACTACATCAATGGAACAGAAAGAACTAATTTTCTCTATCCAAGGTTTTGATTATTTAATGGCATTTTGACTTTTTCTATGACATTGTCAATTTCTTTAAGATTTTCAACTCTATCGCTTAGTTCTTAATATTTTCTGGTCCATTTCTTTATAGTGCCGTGGATCAATTCAGAAAGCAGTTTGCTCATCTAGAGGAAAATGGTAAAAATGGTCCTGTTATACCACTTGACCGAAAACATGTTTCTCTTCCAAGGTAATTCTAATTCATAAGTGCGGTTCCGTGTATTTTTGGATTTCTTTTTCAATTAGCTTTTGATGCATTTCAATAACAATTATATTGTTGACAAACAATTCATTTCTATTACATTATGCTCATGTCAAGTTCGCAATTACAAGATTAAGTGTTCTGTAATAAAATATGCATATTAATTAGTAATTACAATATCGCGACTTCTCTTAATATGTGCGAAAAGTGTCAAAGGGATGGTAACTTGTACCACAAGCTATTTAGACGCCCTTTCAATGTAGTATATAGTGTACAGGGAAATCATATTTCACAAGTTGGTAGATTAAAACCTACCCCACCTACTCCATGTTGAATTTGCTTCCATGCTACTTAAAGGATTATTCCATTTCATAATGTGATTTTTGAATACTTGTCAGGTCAACAATTGTACACTCAAATTCGATACCTCAAAAAGAGCAAACAAGTATTGCTTCTAGCAAAAACCGGCCAACACCCCAGGAATATAATAAGATCACTCGAGATACTGAAATTCCCGTGCCAAGGACGATCCAGGGACCACAAAGAATTCCACTATGTATGTATTTGTTATCATTATAGTCTTCAAAATTTATACGCAACGATCAATTACTTACAATTTCATTTTTTTTCCTTCTTTTTCTTATCAGCAAAGCCTGGTAAAGTTGTCGGGCCGGTTGTTCCCTACGAGTATGGAAATATTATTAAGGATTCTTACGATCCAAGAGCGTTTATCAGAGGTTCTTCTGTGCTTCCTCCTCAACCTGTTCCGCCAGCATATTACTATCAAAGGCCGCCTAGTAGTACTTCTAATCAAGAAAGGTCAGCGACAGAAGCTGACAAAGGTGTCGTGTTGCAAGCAAAACACGGACAACAACAATGCGGAGTTAATGCGAAGATGGGACCAGATATAGCCATTAATATTGATACAAATCCCTTTTTCATGACAAGGGTAGGAGTAAACAAGTTAGAAAAAGATGATCAGATTGCTATAGAAACAAACTTGTTGCAATCAAAGGCGGTGCAATATGGCGGAGTTGGTGCTGCAGCTGGGGCCACTGCTCATAGAAAAGTTGGAACTGTTCAATATGGTATGACAAGAATGTTCTAGAAAGGAAACAGATTCCCTGCAATATCTGCATCACTTCTCGATTGATTGAAATCGAGAAGTGTGCAGTATTCTTACTGCAGGGAATCTGAAACCTTCTAGGAGAGGGTTTTCTTGTGAATATATTGTCGGGGGAGCATTGCGAAAAAAGGCTCTTTGTAGGGAAGGATCTATGTGGTCATTGTTTGTACAAAATGTGAGGGAGTGTGATGAGGATCATTGTGGCAGTACTTCCCTTGAAAGGGTTAGGTTTCTTTGGTGAGAAAGCTATGAACTTTGGTTAGAAACTATCAAGAAACTGTAACATTGAAATGGTGTATGTTAATACATAACCATCTTTTAAGTGTTTGTGGTTAGAGATGGCAATTGAATTCAGATCTATTGGGTATGAGAATGGGAAGTCAAGGAAAATCTGCATTTTTAGTGTTGATTAGGAGTA